CCGGCCATCCCCGCCACCGCCCTTCCCGCCCTCGCCGCCACCCCCGCAGCCTCCCGCGCCGCCGTCCCCGCCGCCGCCGCAGCCGCCGCCGTCGCCTCACCCGCCACCGCCACCTCCCTTGCCCCCACCCCCACCCGGCTTGCTGGTGGAGGTGCGGTCTACTGCCAGCGTCTGCGCCGCCCATGCTGCATTCACATACTAGTGGATTAGCGATGAACCAGCTAATGGCCTAAGCTTGCCACTCTGGCTCCTGCACTGCTGCTGATGATACGCCTGCTCCGCTTCACTCAACCATCGATTCACCGGCAAGGATGCCCTCCCCCCTGTGGCCCTTGCAGCTCTACCCCAGCGACCAGCCGCTGTCCGACTTTCCAGACTGGGCGACGGCGCCGCCTGCCAACGCCAGCTGGGCCGCCGCCGTCGACTGCCCAGCCATGGACGGCGCGTGCTGCTCACGCCGCCCCTGCCGCCCTGCTGGCTGCTGCTGCTGCTGCCAGGCTGCTGCTGCTGCCACCATTCCGCTGCCGCTGTCGCTGTCGCTGTCGCGGCAGGCAGTGCAGTGGCACGCCGAAAAGTTTCAAACCACAAACCTTCTGGCCGCCGGCCCGCCCCCGCCGCAGACTGCTTCTGGCCCTTCCAGAGTGAGGACCTGGGCGTGGTGTTCTCCGGCTGGCTGCGCACCCCTGCCCAAGGGTGGTACCGCTTTGTACTGGCCTCCGACGACGGCAGCCGGCTGCTGGTGGATGACGCGCTGGTGGTGGGCAACGGGGGTGAGTGCGGCGGTACCGGTGGAGGGGCAGTACAACCAAAGTACAGCAGCAGTGGCGGTACGGCTGGTGTGAACACAGCTTGTGCCGCAGCTTGTTGCTCAACAGCGATAGCGCGGGTTGCGTCAGGCAACCAGCTGTGTAGCACAGGCCCCAGCACCTGGAGCTTTTGCCCAGCGCCTCCCCGCCTCCCTCTGAGCCTGAGCGAGCAGTGCAGCCGCCGCCTGCTGCCGCCCGCAGGCGAGCACGGCTGGTGGGACGAGAGCGGCGAGGCGTGGCTGTCCGCGGGCTGGCACTCGCTGCGTGTGGAGTTCTTTAATGGACGCGGAGAGGGAGGTGGGCTGGGCACGGTTTCTTTGGCCGCCGCAGCACCCCCCACCAGCGCCTTCTTGCCGTCCGCATCGACAGCAGGGGTCACGCCTGGTGTCGACAGGGCTGCGCCGCATGTTTGCTGCTGCTTGCTGGCGCCGGCGGGATTGCACAGCCCGACGGCGCGCACACTGAATGCCGGGGCGAGTGCTTGCGCCTGGGCCTGCAGGCGTCGTGCTGAGCTGGCAGCCGCCGGGCGGCAGCTCAGCGCAGGTGGTCCCCGCCTCGGCCTTCTCCACAGGCCCCATGCCCCCTCCCCCGGCGCCGCCACCTCCCAGGCGAGCAGCTGTGCAGCAGCATATCCGTAGCGTGCATAGCGCACACCGAGCCTTTCTGTGAAACCCTGAACGCCGTCTAATA